TACATACTACTGTATATTACTTTGTATAATTTGCATCTCCTTTAATGAAAAGTAAATGACAGTGAAACATCGCCTTTGCTTTTTAAAATCATCTTTATGAGATATATCAAAAAAAATTTAACCAACAAAGTGAGAAAAGTTGTAAAATTTGTGCCTAACATTTGTAATAGATGCTTGACTAAGGTGTAGGTGGTAGTTTTGATTTGGCATTGTGTGCGTGTGCATGCCTGAGTTTGTGTAGTTCAAGTGCATGTTGTGGTTAGTGACAGGGATGATGCAGGCTACACAGCAAACAGGTGTTTATGGTGTGAACATTGGCTTGTTTGTGTTGGTGCAGGCTTGAAGTACTGTAAATCCAGAAAATCAGTGATGTGGATGCTTGACAAGGTGTGTGAGTGAGGGGGGAAATAAAGACATAAAGAGCAAGTAAGACTTGAAGATGGACTGTCACTCAAAGACAGCAGCATGAAAAAGTGCAGTGTGTACGAGAAAAAAATTAACAGGATATTTTTAGCTGCACTCTGCATCACAAGTACTCTTGTTTGTGCAACACTGTGGCTTTATTTGAACTCATTTGTGTTTGAGGCTGAACGTTTGGACAGAATACATCCCAATTAATATTATTATCAGGCAAGCTTTCTTTCAAGAAAACAACGATGGGTGTGAGCGTGTGTGTGTGTCCTAATGAAAACAAAGCTAAGCTGCTGACTGCAGCAGATTTCTGCACTGCTACACAGGTTGAATTTCCAATTAGAGAGTGCAACATTGTTGTACTAAAGACCTGCAGTGCCTATAGACAGCTTTAAGTAGCTCTGCATAATGCCCAAACTCCCAGCATCCAAAGCTAGAGCACACACACGTTAAATGCAAAAAGATTTGCTATCAAGTGCAAATCATTTCCTAAGGAACAGGGTATCTTTCCGTTAGACTCACAGAAACAGTACCAGAGAAAGAAGGAATCAAAAAGCAATAAGGTCTGTTAGACAGACATTCTATCTCATGTGTACACAAAACTTTTACAATACTCAAAAATATTTGCTCTTCCTCTCCTGAGGACCAAATCTATAGTTTCACAAATTTCAGGCTCATTTGTTCATTCAGCTATATTTTCAGGCTGTTGCTGTACACCTCCTGTCCCACATAGTGAACTTCTGTATTTATTAAATATATTGAGCCCTTCAACAAAATTCCCAGAATCCCTCAGATTCTCTTTTGGGTTGTTTTTGTAGCTTTTACTCTTTACAGAGTGAATGTTTATGAAGCATTCACATTATTGTGATCCGTTTTACTTCCGTACATTTTTTGGTGCTATTCTCGTCCCGCAGTTTTCAAGCTACGTTAATAAATCATAAATCAAAATGTTCAGCTCTTTCAGGACAATCCTGCTATGACTTTGGGTATTGGTGCAACTTTAGCTTTTTGAAATATTTAGCCTTTTCTGCCATTTTTTTCCTAATAGAAAATGAACTGATCTCATTTTCCATCCTTCAGATCTTTATATCTGTTTACAATCTTTTACTGCTCCTTTCACATTTTGTTCTGCTTCAGCTTCTTTCAGCTTCCTTGAGCAAATTTAAATTTTTTTCAGCTACTTTTAGCTAATTTCAGCTGTTGTTTTCAGATTCTTTCTGCTAACTACAACATTTCTGTGCAGCTAACTTCTTTCTGCCATTTTCAGCTTGTTATGCTCCTTTCAACTTATTTCTGCAAGTTTCTTTACCTGCTGCTTCAGCTACAATTTAGCTGTTTTTATGCTAATTTAAGCTTTTTCAGCTAATTCCACATTTCTTGCGCACATTTTAACGTTTTTTCAGCCTAATTCAGCAAAAAAGTGTTCTCTCCACTTCCTTCTTGTAATTTCAGCTTCTTTCTGCTTTTATTAGCTACTTTTCAGCTGTTTGTTACTAATTTCAGCCTTTTTTAATAGATAATTTTGATTTTTTTTGTGCTAATATTTGCTTCTTACAGCAAACATGTTCTTACTTCTTTCTTCAGCTAATTCAGCTTGTTCTGCCTTTTCAGCTACCTTTTTAGAATTTTTTTTTAGCTAAGTTCAGCTGTTTTCAGATAAAGTCAAGTTTTTATGATAATTTCTGCTACTTTCAACCTAATTAACTTCTTTCTGTTAATTTCAGCTTGGTATGCTCCTTTCAGCTTTTTCATGTTAGTTTCAGCTTTTTTTGCTATTTCAGCTAATATTTTGCTGTTCTTTTTGTTTCAAATTTTAGCTTTTTAGCTATTTCCATTTTTTTTTTAGCTCATTTAAGCTCCAACATTTTTCAGTCAGGTCATCTGAACAGTTTCTTTTTTTGTGCTGAAATGTTTCACCCTCCATCCAGAAGGCTTCGTCAGTCAAGGAAACACACAACACAAAACTGATTCTTCCCCCAACAGCTTCCTCCAAAGTGGAACAAACCAGTTCTGTTGGTGCTAAGATGGTCTCTTTGGCACGCCCCCTCCTCCGGTGCTGGCCCTCTTCCTCGTCGACAGTCATGTCGACGTTTCAGACGCCCGTAAAAGAAACTGTCTGACTGACCTGACTGAAAATTTTTGGATTGTATACCTGGATTATTGAGCATGGACGTTGTTGGTTTTGAACGAGTTTGACATGACTGTCGACAAGGAACAGGGCCGACACCGGAGGAGGGGGCATGCCAAAAAGACCATCTTAGCACCAACATAACTGGTTTGTTCCACTTTGGAGTAAGCTGTTGGGGGAAGAATCAGTTTTGTGTTGTGTATTTCCTTGACTGACGAAGCCTTGTGGATGGAAGGTGAAACATTTCAGCACAAAAAAAGTAACTGTCCAGATGACCTGACTGAAAATTGTTGGATTGTATACCTGGATTATTGCATGGACTCATTTAAGCTCTTTCCACTTCATTCTGGTAGTTTAAGCTTCTTTCTGCCTTCACTTCAGCTTTTTTTAGCCGATTTCCTAATTTTGTGCTTATCTCTTATTTAAATCCATTTCTACAATTTTTTGTCCTTTCTCCTTCTGCTTATTTAGGCTTGTTCTTTCATTTCAGCGTGTTTTTAGTTAATTTCAGCTGTTTCTTAGCAAGTTATTCAGCAATAAGAACTCACACTGCATTTTCACAGGAAATGCAATTTCTCTAGTAATGTTTAGATTCGTTCTGCTTGTTTTGGTCCTTGATTGTTTAATATGCATTTCTGATTTTATTCCTTCAGTTTCCTGTTCCACCAGTGCTTTTCCCTGAGCCAGCTCTTCCCCTCAGTTATTCATCCTCACCTGCTCCTCATTAGTCTCAGCTGCTCTCACGTGTTCTCACTCCTCCCAGTTCCATTTAAACTCTCTGCTTTCCCTCACTCATCAGTCCATCATGGTGCTTCATGCTGGTCTGCTCCTCCTCAGTGTCTCCAAGTTACTTTTTGTTTCCTTGTAGTTATTGCATGCCTTGTCAGCACTTAGTTTTTTAATTTCAGTTTCTTTAATACATCTTTAAGATTTTTTACACAAGCTTCTTGTGTTTGTCTGGATTCCTGGGACCGACCTCACCAGAACCCAGCTGAAGATTTGTTTTGTTTATTTCCCAGTTTTCATTACTTTTCTAGTCAAATTTAAGGTATAATCCACCTTTAAGCATGTCTTCCTAAATATCACATAAAGATAGATCATCCTTCTGTTGTCCTGCCACTCCTCTTGTGCTGCACCTGAACATAAAGCAGCCCTGGCTAATTTCTTACAAACGACTGTGTCCCAGACTTTGACCTCTGTGATGCTTCACCACTGAGCTGTATAAATAGCCCGGTCTATGAGGATACTATAAATCTACTGCTGCGTGCCCCTGTCTCTGTGAGCACTGTGCTTCACACTCTGAGACCCTCATACTGCATTTATTAACGAGGCAATTACTTTGAAGATAATAAAACTTGTAGATTTTTTAGGCTGTTCTTTGTTAAGTTGACCAAGGCTTGTTTTTTTATTCTCCTCATTTTTGGTTTCTTTATATAGTTCCTGTTTTATTTTGGTGGTCTTTGTTTATGTTGCAGTCTGCTTTACTTCCCCTGGTGGTCTTTCACCTGGGACTTGTCAGCCCAGGTATATTTATTGCCCATGTGTTTAGTTTCTATAGTCAGATTTGTGTTACTTCCTTTTTGCTGTATTTTATGCAGTTTTACTTTCATCTGTTGTTAGTTTTAGTTCAGTCTGTTTGTTAGTTTCTTCATTGGGGAAAAAAAATCCACCTTGTTTTCTGTAAATTGGCTTCCTGTGTACCTGCATTCACATGACATTACATGTCTATCTTCATTAATTCACCTAATGGATGGTTTAGCTCTTTTGAATTTGGATTCTGTGGAAAGGTATTGGAAAATTAAATCACAAACAGCAACAAACCACATTGGTCTTAGTCCTCCTTAGACTAGCTGTTCGCTCATCAGTCTGGTCAAACTTGAACTCTTATTTTTTTTAAACTGAGATCATTCAATGAGCTATCTACAACAGGTAGGATATTAGTTGTTCAAAATCTTTCTGAAGAACTACACATAAAAAAACCAGAACTGCCACTTTGCCTCCAGTTCATAAAACACCACATTATGAAGATGCTCTTTTAAACCAAACACATAAATATTTGTAATTTATTTATATCAGTCGTTTATTCTTTATTAATTTAATCTATGACTTTTAGAGTAAGACAGTAAAATCTTGGACAAAATAACTGATTAACCTGCTGCTAGAGTGCAGTGCTGTGTGACGTGTGGTGTTAAAACACAGAGCACAGTATTTCTACAGCCACAAAAGGCTTCCCCACCGATAATTAAACTGATTATTTTTTTCTGAATTTTAGATTACCTAACAAACACCAGTCAGCCTCTACAATACAGCCACTGGCTTCCATCCATCCAGTTTACCAGCTTCTTCTTTCCAACTAGTGCCCGGATATGGCTGTGACTATGGAGCTCACTGCAAATGCAAATGTCTCAGAACATTTTGGGATTTGTGTATCTCACCTTTATTGTGTTTGCTGGCCAGATAATATGCTCTGGATCTATAATAAATGTATGTTTGTGCATAGATGCTGTCCAGGTCTTGTCTCCAGGTTTCCGGGTACAAAGACTTGAGAAGCTGTTCTATTGAGTCAAAGGCAGCAATGGTTTTGTCTAAATCCTCAAGCGTCGGAGGAAACCCTGTTCCTGCTGGTGACGTCCCTTGTGAACCCATGTCCTGCAGAAAGCAAAGGTTGAAAAGAAAGGGAAAGTTTGGATTACAGAATTGATTTAGGGCTACATAAAGTTCATAAGGCTATAATTTAAAGCACAAGTAAAATGATTCATAATACAACAATTCTAGACTATTTTTTTCTTGGGTATCTCCTTGGCTTTCGTGTACTTCTACCAGGTTTTGGCACAAAGTGTGCAGGGAGAAATGTAAGTAGGGGTTGAACGAGTATATAATTTTTAAACTCGACATTAACATAATAAAACCCGAGTAGAACTCGAGTATTTGATGACGTCATAGATCTCAAGATACAAAAATAAATTAATTAATTAAACTGCAAAAAAGGTAATTATTTACAAAAAAAAAGACCAACAAAACATTGGGAGCGTATATTATGCACCTACCATTTATCATACTGCAAATAAGTCACAGGAAAAACTAAACCATTAGCTATTATTATTAAACTGCAAACGTGAAGAAACGCAGCACGTCAAAAATTAAACTTAAACCGAAACTGGTTCTGGTGGATTGGACCCGGTGTTACACCATACTCTGTGACCTGCAACAGTGCAACACCGCCCCCTACGGTCATACGTGGTCACATAATATGACGTCACTATGGATACCCGACTTTACTTTTTTAACATCGATAGATGTCCTAGCAATCTATGTGTTAATTACTCGAGTACTCTGTTAATGCCCTAAATGTAAGCAAAAGGAAGTATCAGCTGTGTGAACTTTGTTAAAACCATGGCATAGTTTTGAGGTATTGAAAATTACAGCAAATTTAAATGTTTAGCCTTAGTCCGGGTGTGTTGTTTTAGAAAGGTCAAAACCATTTAGAAAACATTACGAGGATGTAGCTTAAATTTCATATTTACTTTCATCATTGACACAATGACACTGTGGACCACGGCATCTTATGCCATAAACTCTCAGAAATTGGTTTCTCAGATCACACCATTGGTTGGTTCTCTAACTATCTCTCAGACCGGAGGCAATGTGTTCAACATAATGGTACTTCCTCCAGTTATTTATCAGTCAACAATAGTGCACCACAAGGCTCAGTCTTAGGGCCCACCCTCTTCACAATCTACATAGGTAATGTAGGTCAGAGCATCCTTGATGCATCCTTACATTTCTATGCTGATGAAACAGTTGTTTATTGTCGAGCTAAAACAGTTTCTATAAGGTTTTCCAGCTTTTGCAATTCGCTTTTGTCACCATCCAGTCAGATTTGTTCCACCTCAAACTTGTCTTAAACGCAGTCAAAACCAAAGGAATGCTGTTTTCAAACAGGAAGTCAGTTCCAGCAGTTCTTCCTTTGATTTTATCCACAAATGGTGTCCCTATTGAGTTTGTCAATTCCTACAAATATTTGGGTATCTTGGTCGATTTGCATCTCTCTTTTAAGCTCCATGTGGAAAACCTAGTAAGAAAACTTAAAGTTAAATTGGGTTTATTTTTCAGAAATAAATCCTGTCTAACTCTGAATGCTAGGAAATTCCTTGTAACTGCGACTTTCCTTCCCTCCATTGACTACGGTGACATTATCTGTATGAATGCTTCTACAACACCCTGCAGATGTTGGATGCTGTCTATCATGGTGCACTAAGATTCATAATTGGCTGTAACTATCGTACCCACCACTGCACCCTATATTCACTTGTTTAATCGGTAATGGTACATGGACTGTACTTATATAGCACCTTTCTATCTTATTGAGATACTCAAAGCTCTTTACACTACAATCTGTGTCCTCATTTACCAATTCATACAGCACTCTGCTAGATCTCTACAAAGCTATTTGAACAAATCATTCTAAAGAGACTAATCAGTTCTTTATCACATTCATACACCGATGGGACACACATCGGAGGCAACAAGGGGTTCAGTGTCTTGCCCAGGGACAATTCAGCATGCGACTGCCGTTGGATTCGAACCCTCAACTCTTGCATTAGAGGACGACTGCTCTAACACTCAGCCACAGCCGCCCTGGTCATCATCAACTTCACACAGACTCTCTCACTGGTAACTTTTCATCTTTAAATCACTTCTTGGTCTGCTGCCTTCATTTATCTCCTCCTACATGTCTCTACGTGAGTGCAGCTACAGCGTGCGCTCTCAGGACATTATAACCTGCAGTGTTCCCTCATTGCAGACTGAACTTGGCAAAAGGACCTTCTCCTACTCTGCTCCTGTTTCCTGGAATATCTTGCAAAAACATCTGAAGCTCTCGACCTCGACCTCTCTAAGTGGCTTCAAACATCTGTTAAGTTCCTGGCAAAAAACAATGCAGACGTTCCTGTTTTTAGTTTTCTACATTCGCCTTACAACCTACCTGTTTTTTAATTACATTTTTTTAATACCATTTTATTTTCACTTGTTATTCTCAATTTGCATGCAACCTTTTATGATTGTCTACTGTTGTCATCACTCTTTGTTAAAACCAGGTCTCTCTTGTAAATGAGTCCCCGAGGCTCAATGGGATTGACCTGAATAAATAAAGGTTGAATGAATCATGAATTTACAGCGTCAGTCATTGTGGGTCATTTTCACCCTGACGCTCTGTAATACAGTTTAAAATGTGAAAAATGTTACCTTCGTCTGCTGTATGAAAAGGTACAGTTACTCTAAAAGCACAAACATGATGTAAGAAGAGACACTTTGTTGGATGGACATACTGCACAAAGGACAGAATAACCTACTTTCAATATAAGATGATACATTTAGAAAGTAATCTGCGTAAAAAATACAAGATATGTTTTTAGTCTTTTGTCTTCATTTGACAAAAATTATTAACACACATAAACAACAACTTTTTTTCCTGCTGTAACTAAAAATAGAGAGTCAAAGCAGCAGGCTGCCACACTGATGATCTTTGGGTGGTCTTTGTGCTGCTGCAGGCTATTTATCTGAATCGGAGGCAACTGTAATAAAACCAATAAAATGTGAGGCTATTATATCTGAGAGGTCTGCTGCAACCCTCAGCCATGTTTCAAAGGACAAACGTAAGTAATGAGCAGATTTATATAACTTTGAGAGGAGAATTAGACTGATTAAAGTTAATATTGAAACAGAAGCACTCTTCTGGGATTTCACATTTGTTAATATTTATTGTAAGCGATTAAATAAAGTAGGATATTGGGCATAAAATCAATCATCATATTACGCGTGTCACTCCATCTTGTAATAAAATTGAGATACCTATTACTTTACCTTGTTATGGTAAGGTATAAATGGTGAAAACTATAATATATTATTTTATAACTGTGTTACAGTATGTTTAAAAAAGACTAACATGACCTTATTGTAAAATAGATACAATTAAATTATAATCAAAGTAAAACCTAAAATCTCCTTCATGTGATTTTTGGACTTATTTGGATCCAACTTATTTTTAAAATTAAGGAAACAATGTCAGATAAACCAAAACACATAAAATATCACTTCACAAAAGGCAATTATTAGTCCCTGTTTCTGCGCATCAGTCTGACAAGTGTTTCAACTCTTTTTCATAATTAGTTTGGTTTGGGTTATTTGAAACAGACATAGCACATTATGGCCGTGCAAGAAAAATCTAACAAAAAAAGTTTTCTTTAACAGATTGCTTTCATAAAGTTACCTAAAAAGCAGTATGCATGATTAATAAATTAAACTAAATTATTCTAATGTTGAAGTTTCCAAATGAAAAACACACAAAAACAAAAAATAACAAATTCACAAGAGTCATAAATACCAAAAGCCATTACTGATATTAAATTGTAACATAATGAAAATAAATTCATCATTTCAATAGACATAAAAAATAGAAATAAACCCACAAACACTGATAGATGGATGCAAATAACAAAGCGGCTATTAAACCAGGGGTATCTAGTCCTGGTCCTCGAGGGCCACTACCCTGCATGTTTTAGTTGTTTCTCTGCTACAACACGCCAGATTTGAATCGTTCGGTGATTAACAGGCTTCTGCAGAACATGAAGGGGTATTTTAATCATGAACCTGGTGTGTTGGAGCATGGACACAAGTGAAGCATGCAGGAGAGTGACCCTAGAGGACCAGGATTGGACACCCCTGTGTTAAAACATTCATTTAACTGAGATTTATATCGACTGTCCATGAGTGGACTAACACAGTCCCCTCTCGCTTCACGTGCTGTTAACTATGCTGTTCTGTAGAAGCTGACAGAGGAAACGAAAAGTATGGTAATAAAAATTGTGTACATGAGGGCAAACGTAACCTGACGACTGTTTGTGCTGTAAAAATACCACGGCATCGTATTTACTATCATATGATAAAGAAACCAAACTGTCAACTGTGGCTGTGGAAGTGTAATGATATGAGTTTGTTTTGCATTCATTGGACATAGGCTCTTTGGCTTTACACCGAAGTATTTTAGAATTAAAACTTAAGGTGTTTTTTTTTAATGGCTAAAACTAATTAATGCAATAAGACAATCACCACAAGCACAACAGATCTACAACAAAAGAGGGGAAAAAAATCAAGCTGTTTCAGTGAATCAGTGAAACTGTAACCTTAATCTGATTGAAATGCTGAGGCAGGTCTTTGAGAGCTCTTACACACACAGACCCTTTCACAGTATTTACAATTATCATGTGTTGTGGACTCTGTTATTAATTATAATTTTATATATACAGTATGTTAGGGCTGTCAACGTATGTGATTAATCTAAAAAGATTAACTCATAATATTACATAATACAGATTAATCCATTACTATTTTACGAATGTTCCTTCTAAGCTGCACGCCTGTTCAATCGCGCACTGCTCGCACATTCTCTGCACACAAGAAGAGCGCAGCGGTCTCTCCAACCTGTCTGAAATGCGTCCACAGTGGAGGATCCCTCTCCCCCCCCCACCCAGGTCAAACAGATTTGTGTAGCGACAACGAAAGTTTACAAAGAAGTAAAAAAAAAAATTAATAAATGAAATTTGTTTGCTATTTTGGCCTTGGATCTCCATTTGGTAAATTTTCCGTCATTGTAAATACAGTAAATTCCACTTTTTTCTATAAAATTACAATCCCATGTCAGTGGCTGCTTGAGTTGTGCAGAAGTTTGAATCACCTAAATGTTACATCCTGACTACTCCTAGACTGGGCCTAACTAAACTGGGGGCTCGTCCGCAGCCAAACTTTTGATAAAGTTTTTTTCCTGTCCATCTTTAATAGTTGACAAAAAGTCAATCTGTTCAAATAATTTTGATGTAGGATTTTATTTGTTCAAATGTTTCAGTTTGCACAACTCACCGACATCAACTGAGTGACAGCCTCCCAGTTGGTGCTTGAATTAGCCTTAGGGTCAACCTGCAAAAAAAAAAAGAAAAAAAGAAGAAAGAACACAAAAATATAAATTTCAAAACCCAATGTTTAACAGACAATGAAGTAAATACAGCAAAACAACAACAGCAAATAAAATAAATAATCCAACACTTAAAGGTCGCATTGATTTCTTATTTCGGTGAGTTCAAACCTTGTATAGAATAAAATGATTTGTCTGATAATTAAAACAGCTTGGATGCTAAAAAAGATCCCCAAAACAAACAAATATGTTTAGGTAAGGCTAAAAAATTGTGTTACATGACTGTGCTGGAACATTTACACAGGATGTGAGGTTCATCTTATCAGGACCTCCTCAACTGTCTCAAGCAACATATCTGCTTAACAGAATACAAAATGCATATAATTTGCAGTCAATTATTTGTCATGTTGTTGTTAAAATGAAATACAGGTACTCTTCAGCAAAACTCCTGTATGTAACTTTCTGCACCATACAGTTCTACTGAATAAATAATAGGACATGAAGGTCAGAGTGAAGTACTGTTTATGGAACCAGAGCAACTTTCTTTAATCTGTGAGGTGGAATAGTCATTTCCTCATCAGCTATCATAGTAAGTGATGACTGAGTTTATGCACCTAAAACAATTCGTTAAGATGTGAACTTTATGCTATGATAGAATGGATCTATCTATTCTGCTGTTTTTCTTGCAGTTGCCCTAAAGAACTTGTAATGAGTAGAGAAATAAGACGCTTTTAAAAGATACAAAAAATGTCTGCTTACCTGACTGAAAGATTTGTCACAGTTTGTCTTTATAAATGTTTATGTTTAATTATTGCCCAGTGTTGTTAAAGGATGTCATGTGGTAGCAGGTGAGAGTTATTCACAACACAAACTCTGAGTGTGACAACTCATGATATCACGTGTGATTGGGCATTGGGTTATTTTCAAGGTCTGATCATGTTTCTCGCCACAACATGAGCTCAGTTTAAAACGCTGGCATGAAAGACGGCCGGGGATATGCATTCCTTCAATTAATTAATTAAATGGACTGTACTTATATAGTGCCTTTCTATCTCGTCAAGATACACAAAGCGCTTTTCAACACAACCTGCGCCCTCATTTACCTCCACACACATTCATACAGCACTCTACTATATCTCTATAAAGCTATTCTGAATCTGTAGAGAAAAGCAGAAAACTACAAAATGGCTGAAACACTGAGTTCCTTTAAATCAAGTCTAAAAACCCACCTCTTTAGAGTTTCTTTCGAACTATAATAAATGGAACAATGATCAACATATTTGATGGCACTCGACAAAATGTAATGCTTGTTACTGGTTTCTCAACTAGTGGCAGTATATTGTTTTAATGACTTTTACTTTTGTGTTTCTATGATGTAAAGCACGTTGAACTACCTTTTTGCTGAAATGTGCTATACAAAAAAACTTGATCGATTGATTGATAGAGACTAATCAGTGCTTTAGAGCACATTCATACACTGATGGGACACACATCAGAGGCAATGAGGGGTTCAGTGTTTTACCCAGGGAAACTTCAACATGTGACTGCTGCTGGAATTGAGCCCCCAACTCTCCCATTGGGGGACGACTGCTCTAGCCACTCAGCCACAGCCGCCCCAACTAATAAAGCCATTTTCTGCTTTTTGATAAATACTCATCTGATTTACACATTTGGTACCCAATTCACACAATCTTTGTCCATCACTGCAGTTCACTTTCTAACATTCACACACGCACCACGCACATAAAGTCTCACTCGTTATCGGATCCGTCTCCTTGAAGAGTCTTAAATACCAGGTCCGGTCAATGTGGAGCAGTAAATCTGTCTCAGCTACACTTCAAAGACAGAGTGCCCTCACTTTGTCTCAGTGCATGTGTTTGTGTGTGTGTCAGTGCAGTGTAATAGAGTTGACATCAAAGGTGGTCAATGTGCATTGTTGTTAAGAGATTCTTGCAGCCAGCCTGTAATGTATCCCCTCAAAGCAGTTGAAATGAAGTCAATTTCCAGGATTTGTTTGTGTTTTTGTTACTCATATTGTGGCTGTTTAGATCTTTAGATTTATGGTAATGACCTGAATTGAAGTTCAGATGAAATAAAATGTAGGTTAGGATTAAAGTAACAGTTAGGGCAATAGTGTTTACTGTTGGAGGCATTTTTCAGGAAATTAATGTACCATACCATACCATTTTACTGTATTTATAGAGCACTTAAAACAGCGACAAGGCCAACCAAAGTGCTGTACAGACAGAACAACAG